TGTGATCTCTGAGCCTCAGGCTTTTCATCTCAGAATATCAACTTCATCTCATAAGTCCAGTTGCATAGAGAGAGGAAAGTGTGGAGGACACTCTACTGGGATTGCCCAGTATTGGTGACAATTTAGTGCACATTCATTCTTAAGTAATTTAAAAGAAACAGCAAATATAAATCTAAATATTAAGAAAAATTTAATTCTCATTTGGCAGATAGCTAGCTTCTAATTTAAGCAGTTGGAGAAAACATATGCACTACTAAGAATCCAAAGAGCAGTGGGGTGAGATAGGTGGCAAACAGGTAAAAAGTGCTGGAGTCTGGTGATCTGGAAAGAGGCCCAGGACCTGACTCATTTGCATCTAACATCAACTACCGGGGAGAGATTTGCAGCTTATCAAGAGGACCTGGAAACTATGTAATGGCTCACGCCCTGGTGCGACGTCCTGCTCATGTCTGCTTATGCGGCATCTTCTTCTCTCTAAGGGTGTTGTATTGTGAAATATTGACACTTCCTATATCTGACGCTTCAACATCCGAGCAGCCAGGTGATATCACCTGAGTGATAAGGTCCCGGCAGGGACCGTCCCTGCTTGCCCTCTGCTGACTGATCTGTGACATTCAAGCATGCCAGTGCAGTCCCCTCCCCCCCTTGCTGTATGATCCACCCATAAGGCTGCTGGCCTACAGAATCTCACCCACTCAGCACTTGGCTCCTCCCATGGGCTTTCTGGTGCACTGTGCTCCTTCCTCTAGGACCTGTGTGTATAATGTATCTCCTGCGCTGACTGAGTGGGGAGGATTGGTGGTGAGTGGCGTCCATGGGTGTGCAGGGGTGAATGCTGAGGGGAGGTAGAAGCATGATCACAGTCCTGCCATAGAGCAAGTCTGTTCTCTGTCTCGGCAGAGAACCTGGCCCCTAGTTTTTCAATAAATGTTGGAAACCTCTCCTCTACCCTTTCTTAATAGCTTCTGTGGCCAGATTCTATGCTTCAAGTCTACTCTGGCTATAGTAGGTGTTTCCCTTAGAACAGATGAGAGAGAAGGAGGGCAAGGAAGGGGTTTACTTGGGAGATTACCCCAGAGGTCAATGGTGTGGCAGCCGGGGAGGGGACAGTAGCCAGGAGAGGGAGTGGTAAGGATCAGGGTCCTATTTTGGGCCACTGGGGGCTCACCCCTTGAGGAAGGGGTTCTGGAGACAGTGTAGGCACCTCAGAATTGACTCTGTAAAAGGGCACAGATATGGGGTGATGTTTATCTCTGAAGTCCCTGCTGATCACCCACACCGGCTGCTTCAGAGTGTCCTCTCCACTGTGAGAAAGAAAGGCAGCCTGTCTCTCTTGCTGTCCTATCTCAGTGCTTTGTTACCAGTTGTAAAAGCCCTGGCTGAGAGAGGCCAATGAATTTTGCCAGCTTTTAGCCACATATTCTCCATTGTATCAGAGAATCAGCAGTTTAAGAGAACCCTGGGAAAGAACCATGTGTTTAGCCATTGCTCACCCATCCTTTACTTCCCAGTCCCCATTAAGGCAACTCTGGTTTGGGACCATTCCTTCCAGGTCAGCCAAATCTCCACTTTTGACTGACCCTACAAGACACCTACTGACCCCAATAGTGCATCCCCCAGCTCACAGATGAACATCCAGTCCTCAGCGGGTCTCTTCCGTGTGCTGTTTGCCAGCTCTGTCCATGTGTGAGCACATCCAGAGAGAATGCTGGTTGCTACTGCCCACTTCTACTACCCATGTGCTTTGCACATCTGTGTAGATGCCTAGAACCACATTTCCCAGGAATGATTATAAATTGAGTTACCCTGGGAGTTGTTTCACTGAGTAACTCTTACTTCCAATAGACTATTCCAGTATAATTTCCAGCTCTACTATTTTTTTTTTTTTGCTTGTTTTGGGGGAGGAATTACTTAACTCCTCTCTGCCTCCTATTTCTCATCTATAAATTGGAAACAGTAATATCAAACAGTTGAGAGATAATGCATATAAAGTGCTTAGCTCAATTTCTGGTATGCATTTAAGCATTCAGAAAACTAATTATTTTAAATGCCTATTTAGATCCATCCCCAGTATACTTTCCTCAAAGGCTACTTAGTGAAAAATGGAAGGGGACGAGGTGCATCTTTTCCAATTAGGAGGAGTTAGGATGTTTTTCCAATCATCATTAGATATTTGAAGTTAAATCATGTTTTATGTCTTAATTTGTACAAAATGGTTCTTTAATGACTGTTCTACTCATAAGAACACAAACGGCTTTTGAGAGAACTTTAATCCAGAAGGAAAGAGAAGTGATGTACACAGTGACTAGTGGTCTGTGTTCCATGCAACACCATGTTGTCCATTTAAATCATCAGAGCAGTCCTCTGAGGGAGAGATGATTCCATGTGAAATGCACAAGGCATAGCTTGACTATTAGCTTCTCAAGTGTATATTTTGGTGTTCTTACCATGACTCCAAAAATTATCCTGTATTTGGCTTATGCATGGTTCTCAAGAGGATGCAGTTTTGCCTTCCAGAGAACATTAGACAACATGAGGAGGTAGAGAGGGGATGGCATGCCACTAACATCTAGTGCAGAGGCCAGAGATACTGGCAAGGACCCCACAATCAATCCACAGAACAGCACCAAATGATCTGTGCCTGAATGTGCAGGGAGCTGAGCTTGAGAACCCGGGCTCTATCATGCTACTTTTGAGATTCATTTGCTTGTTGAAAGAAAATAAATAAGATGAAAATACTGCAAACAAGATTTCCAGAGCACTTACTGAGAAGGTTTCAGTTGATTATTATTCAAAGTTGCTGATAAAATGGACTCCTTTCAAAAAATCTTTGTTAGATGTTTTAACATCTATTTTTAACCTCTCCCACTGTTCTCTGAGACTTGTTAAAATGGCTCTTTGTAAAATGCTTGGGGCGTTTCAAGGAGAGAAGGAGATGTTATTCCACTCAGCATTGCAAATACCACTGCCCTGTATTAACAGAATTCCCTCCGAAGAAGCTCAAGATGCCAGGCAGGATTCTCAAGGCCACTATGAATAATGCTGTACCAAGCTGTGGTACCTAGAATAAGTACTTCTGGGTATTTTTTTATAAAACCATGATTCATGTCTCTTTGGGACTCTGGCAGACATGAAGCAGATGCTATTAGTGCCTCATCCAAATCCCCTTCACAGAACAGGGGTACCCCAACACAACTACTGTGATACGTGACTGCTAAGGGCTCACAGCTGTCCCAGGGAGGTCACACCCCATCCTACAGAGCAGACAGAGGCCCAAGACTGACTGATAAAAAGAAATGAAAGCCTGGCCTCCTAGCTTTATGGAAGACCAACTCAGGGTACATGTCACATTCCAGAGCCCCCCCATGGGATCAAGTTGATGCTAGACTTTAGTGATGACTGTCTCCTTGCTTAGATTTCTTTCAGTACTCTATTCATCCTCTTCTAGTCCCCCCTCTCCCGACTTGTATGAATATACCCACTGGGGCTATGGTCTAGGGAAACTGACCCAAGACAAAAGGAGCCAACAAATCCAAATGACCATGAGTGTGCAGACACCTTCTCCTTGCTCTGCCACATCCCCATGGTCTTCTCCCAGTGGCTGAAGGACATGCGAGGGGCCACAGAACTCAGAAACATAGGGTCAGAGAGGATAGCAGGTTCTGCCTGCTGATCACAGAACTTTTGGGAGCCTGTCACTCCAAATTCAAACTTTTCCTGAGAGGAACAGTTTGTCTCCTTGGCCTAAACCCAGACCTCAAGGCAATTGCAGTTTTGTCAGACACCCAGCTCCCATCAAAGTTAATGGGGAGGAATTTTTCTTACTTCCCCTATTGATTTACCCTTTAAAGATTGTCAGCACAAAGCAGCCCATGGAACTTTGCATCCCTTAATATGACTATTAAGGGATATCTTATTGAGTAGACCTAATAGATTTTCCTTTTTCTTCCATGATTCCTGTGGTTCTTGAGAAATAGTATTGCCTATATATACTATTTGGTTCAAAAAGACAGTTAGGTCATCAAATAATTAAAATAACATTGAAGACTATTTCTTAACAATAATTTTGCAAGCAGTCATTGCAAGATTTTTTTTCAGTAGTGTTCAGTTTTTTATTATGCTATCATCAAATTAAAAGGAAATTTATGCTTTTCTCTCTACTCTGACCACACATTTCCAAAGGGATATTTTTTTTTTTGTCTCAGTGAAAAAATATGCATTCATTTATTCATTCATCACATTTTAGCCTAATACCATCTGTGTGTCTGGCACCGTTCTAGACACTGAATATACAAAGATAAGCAAAGTAAACGAAGCCCCTCTCTTGGAACTCACTTTCCAGCAGGGAGACATAAGGAACAGACTGCCCTGTTAAATACACATTCTATAGTATCAGATATGGATAAATGAAATGAATAAACATTCCATAGAATAGCAACACCTCACTGCAATAAAAGAGAATGATGATTTATTTTAAGATTGTGACATAATATTTCTCAGAGGAGATGACCAGCTTGCCAAGACTTGAATAAAGTAAAGGAACGAGGCTTATGGATATTTGGGGAAGAGCTTTTCTTCCCCAGGGCACACTTATGCCAAATCCTTAAGACTGGAACACACTTGACAGGTTCAATGGACATCAAAGTCACTGGCTGCAGTCCAGGGAACAAGATGGAGAGTGGGGTAAATGGGGAGACTACTGCTTCTTATTGGAGGTGCTCAGTGATTGGGGCAGGTCAGTTCTTCCTCCCAAATCTGGAACAATTGGCTTCTGTTGTCTCCAGGTACTAAATGCCAGTAGCAACCCAATTATGACTCTGTTACCAAAGATATGTCCCACTTATTTCACAAACATACTGTGATAGGGAGTTAGTCCCAGGGAAGACTAAGCTTTATATAAAACAAGTGATATGATTAGGTTTACATAGCCCTGTTGAGTAGAGAACAGAGTGAAGGGATAGAAAATTGAGGAAGATAAACCAATTTGGATGTCATTGCAGTGGTCCTGGCTAAAGACAATAATGGCCAGCTCTGGAATATCTCACTGCCACTGGTAAGAAGCAGCTGGGAAGATGATTTGAAAATGGGGCTCACAGGATGTGCTGATGCTGGATGTGAAGTGAGGGAAAGAGAAGTTTCATGGAAAACTCTAAGGTTTGCTGTTATTGCTGTCCTTATTCTGATTATTAGACAGCTACTTTATCCTCGTCTGGCCATTTTTGTGTTTGCATATGTGTGCTTGACAGTGTGTGTGCACAGGTGCAAGCCCCTCCACTTGAATGCTCCATCTTAGCCTTGTCATGTCTACGTGGGAGGGGAGTCATTCTGTGCATTGTAGAATGTTTAGGAATATCCTTGCCCTCTACTCCCTCCTCCTAGGTGTGACAATCAAAAATGTCTGCAGATATTGTCCAACATCTGTTGGGAAGCAAAGCCACCACCCGTTGAGAGCCACTGCTGCAAGCGGAAGTGCCAGTGAGGCTGCAGATTCAGTTCTGCCTCTGAGTGTCCCTGGGTAAGATGCAGAACCTCTGTTTTATTCCTGTGTTTTTATCGGATGTTTGAGTAAGACTTCTGTTAGCTCAAGTCAGAAACTCCATATATTGGATAACCAACTCTTTTAAATGGGGGGTGGGGTGGGGATTCACTTTCACTGAATTTCAAATGAATAATGTCTCAAAATATCTTCCTAATACACACACAAAGTTAATTCTTTTCTGGGAGAGAAAGAAATGCCCCCACCCATGATAGGACTGATTTTGTCAATGTAGGCAATACTTTGAGCAGGCACAATTTAATAGACATTCCTAGATACTAAAATAGAAATTTCTCTGTCTGCAGAGGACAATTGAGGACTTGTAAACCACAGCTGTCCATGTGTGGATTTTTTTTGCGCGTCTTATTGGACAATTTGGTCCAATAAAGTTTAGCTTTTTCCTGGCAATATTGAATAATGCTGAGGATTATTTTGCTTCATCGCATCTGCTCTTTTGCCCAATTAGAACTGTTGGTAAACAGATGAAATTGTCGAAACAGAGAGATTTAGTAGCAACCTCTTCTGAATTATCTTGCACAAACTCCCAAGAATTTTGTAAAACTATTTACTCTAAGTAATTGCATGACATTTTTCTCTACCCAGAATTTGAGATTGAGGAATGGTCATTTTCAGAAGGATGAGCTCATCCATCACCTGTGACCAGGCTTCCTCATCTAAGGTTTTGGGCTTTGCTCCTCACACCTACAATACCACTTTGCCAGGGAGCAGGAGAGTCCACAGATTTATGGGGGACTATGAAGCTGTATTTACGTAATCATGGGAGAGACAGAAAGTCAAATCATATTATTACTTGTATGTTGTAAAATAGCTAAAAGTCTTCCTGGACTTGTCTATGTCCTTTATTTGGATGGCCTGTAGGAATGGTTTCTACTATATGAAATTTATGGATGCTTTTTATTTAATAAAAATATAAATCAATTTTCTACATTTAGTCCAGCATTCTAGCTTCTCTAAGCTTGGCCACTGCCAGAGCCTTTTAAAGAAAGCAGAGTCAGCTGAATGTGCTGCCCCTTTTTGGCTATACGTGAAATCTAGGAGGCCAGGGATTTCCTTTCTGGCCATATTCAGTGCTCAGTGCTTGATGCCAAAAAAATGGTGGATTGGTTTTGGCATTGGTTGCTTTCAATGAAGTACCTTAGGGATAAGAGCGGTCTCAAGAGGACCAGATTGAGTGCCTTTGACAGGGCAACCTTGAGTTGACTCTCATTATTCCAGTAACAAAAAAGCAAGTCAGCTTTAGGAAGTTAGCAGTGATATGGACCCTGATGATGAGGCCAAGTTCATTGAGACTCTTGCCTTTGAAGTATTTTGTTGAGCAAGGCTCTATCTGGAAAAGTGGTTGAATAAGAAAACAGAATATATTAAAGCCCAAAGCAGTTCAGCAGCACCACTCAGGATCCATCATATATACTGATTAGAGGTTCTAAAATTTTCTTTGGTTAGAAGAATGTAAAAAAATGATAATTCCCTTTATTCTTTTGTTCAATGAAAGAATATTCAAAAACATTTGAATCCCTCTCACAGATCCTAATGCTAAGCAGAAAGGGAAATACCAAGGTCAAGAGGGCATAGGGCCGACTCTTAAGGAATTGATGAAATTATACAGGTCAGACTGTCATGGATATTTTTAACTACTACATATGCATGTTAAAATAAAATGCATAATGTAATAGAAGGGATAGTCAAATATTATAGAATAATAGAAGAAAATATAATTCTAGTAATAAAAGGAACTGTGTATAGTGAGTATATTAATTAGGATGCTTCCAACTGCAAGTAACAGAATACCTAATTAAAAGTGACTTACACTGGTATTGGAGATCTTGTTAAAATGCATATTCTGATTCAGTATTTCTGGGATAGTGTCCAAGATTCTGTAGTTTTAACAAGTTCCAGGTTATGTTGATACAGTTGTTTCAATGACCAAACTTTGAGTAGCAAAGTAGTAGGGAGGGCGAGAGGAGAGTGGGGGACAACAGGGCCTCTGTGGATGGCCTTGCTGTACTCAGGTGGGAAGTGATAATGTTCTGGTTAAAGACAGCATTGGGGGCTGGGATTGATGTGGTTGGACCCTTAGATATTTAGGAGGTAAGCTTGGTTCTTTTTTTTTTTTAAAGGTTTTATTTATTTTTGCATGGAAGAACTGGGGTATAGGCCAGAGGTTTTGGGGAGGTGGGAGGATTCCTCAGAGATAGAGCAAGGAGCAGAACAGGCAGACTGGCTGAAATACACTGCTGAAGGGAGCAGCGGGCAAGACAGGAGAGATCTGCCGCGCCATGTGGGTAGCTCCCTGGCTGTGGATCAAATGCGGACCACAGCAATGATATGGTGATAGTGCTGAGACTTAACCCCTAAGCTACCATGGAGGTCCAGTAACTTGGTTCTTTTTAGTGGTTTAGATGGAGGGTAAAGGTGAATATATAGTGAGTAAAGAGAAAAATGTGACTTCCGAGTTCCTTCATTTTGAAAAGATACCCCTTTGCCAAAACCGTTGCTCGTGATATGTGCCAGACATTCCCAAGCACCTGGAAAGTTAACTCAGCTCCATTCCTGGTAAAACTCACTAACAAGAGCTTCTTCTCAGTTAACTCTTGAGGATCTGGGTTCCATGGCTCATAGAAGCAGAACATTAGCCACGTGTGAATATTGCAGTTTTCCTCTGGAGTATGATCTCTATTTTTATTGAACAACTGTCAGTAGGCCATGCAGCATTGCCAACAACACACTGAAAATAGAATGAAGGCAATTACCTCAGCAAAGATTAACGCAGAAAGTAAAATTGCACTTATGTAAGGACTCATCTTCCAGGCGCTGACACCGGCCTGCAGTGGGTTTCTCTGTATCTGTTTCAGCTTCGTCTGACACCATCCCTGCCATACATACCTCCCCTCTGCCTGATTCTTCCTGTGTTTTCTCAGCCTTTTTCAGAGTAAACACCAGAGTACAGTGTTATTCCCAGCGATTTCCCCTTCAAGACGCTGCAGGCAGATGAGAGATAATATTAACTAAAAACGTATCAGCAATCCTCGGCTGTTTGGCAACTACTTGTCAGCAAACTTCAGGAAAATTCTTAGGCTTTGGAAAATGTCAAGTCTAAGAGGAACTTTCAAGAAGATTTAGGCTGTCCTGTCATTGTTAAGAGGAAAATACTGATGCCTGGGGGATGACATGGCCTCGTTGTGTCTTCCTTTGTCCCTTTGGTTTAGAGAAAGGACTGAAACCCCAAACTCCACTCCCACAAGGGCATTTCCCCCATGCCCTTGGCTTCTTACAATGAAACAGGGATGGTAGGGAAAGCTTCCTTGTCAAGTCTCTAACACCCCCAGTGGGTGGAGAAAACTTATACAAAAGAGGAAAATCAACCCCATAATTAGATACAGAGCTGACTCCAGACCAGCTTGCAGAAATATGGTGCTGGCTTTGCTACAGGAGAAGGAGAGGAAATCCTACATCAGCACCTTGCAGCTTACATGGGTTCTGATGGAATGGTACCATCTTCATAAAACACAAATAGCGATGATGGAATTCAAAAGAAACAAGGACAATTAATTGCTAAGGAGGGCCACTTTGGCAGCCCTTGGTGATGTCGCTGTGCTTTTTTTCCCCAAACCCTTGGCATTGCAAGCTGATTTGGCTCATCATATCTATTAAATTGTAGTAATAAGAATATGATCTATACTTCTGGAACTCTGACCACATTTTTGTCAGGCTACATCTTGTGTCTGAAAGGGCCAGGGAGACATGGAGAATGATGGGCAGTGGTAATTCTGTCTTTCACATATAGGTCCCTATTTCCTTACAGCTCCTTTATGAGTATGATAGAATTGTTCTCCCTAGGTAGGCAGCTGAGGCAAAGAAGTTTTGAATCTCTCCACGTTTAGACCCAAGTTAAAAAATTTTATTTTGAAATAGCTTTTCACTTCAGAAGAGTTGCACCAAGTACAGAGCATGTTCATATAGTTTTTAGCTAGTTTCCCCAAATGTCACCATTTTATGTCACCCCGTAGCCTCACTTGAATGGCCTCATTGAGGTATAATTCACATGCCATATAATTTACCGAGTTAAGCATAGTTTTCAGTGGTTCTCATTATATTGACAGATAGGGGCAATCACCACCCCAGTCAATTTTAGAATATGTTTATCACCCACACCCTTAAGCCATCACTCTTTCTCCTCGCCCCATCCCAGCCCTAAGCAACTGCTAATCTAATTTAGATCTCTATAAACCTCCTAGACATTTCATATGAATAGAATCATATGACATGTGGTCTTTTGTTACTGGATCATTTCACATGACGTCGAGCTTTCAAGATCCACCGATATTATAGTATGTAATAATATTTCATTCTTTTTAATGGTAAAATAATATTCCACCGTATAGATAGAACATGTTTTCTATCCATTTGTCAGTTGACATATATTTGAGTTGTTTTGACCTGTTGGGTTTTATAAATCCTGTGGATTTATAATGTCTACTATATTACTCATAAGGTTGATTAGAGAATATGATTTTAGATTTGTTAGGAACTGGAGAGTGTTTTAGGACAGCACTTCTGAATTAAACTGACTTATCCATCTAGTCATTAAATGAAAAACACCCCATGAGGACATGGTAAAGTTTCAAGATGCACATCCTATGCACTTGTTATATCCCAAAGAGAAGAATATAATGAAAAATGCTTATTTTTGTCTTTTAAACTTATTGATCAGATAGTTTGAACTTCTTCCTTAGGGACTAAGATGAAGGGGTCAGAGAGGTAACTTAGCTTGGGTTACCCTAGAAGCAGACTCTCAAGTTAAAAGTGAGAGTTTAAATGTATCTATTTGACAAGTTCTGATAGAGATCTAGGGAAATGAGACATGGAAGGGAAGAAAGTCAATAAATGTTCACTTTTGAGCAAGTTAGTATTCTTGAAAATTGGAGGCATCATTATATACTGAGGACCTCTTAGAGACA